AGAGCAACTGCATTCTCTTCACTGATGATGTAAAGCTATTCAACACCACAGACAATACTGCTATCCTTCAAAAAGACCTCAACTATGTATCAGAATGGTCAAACAAATGGCAACTTGAAATCTCAACAAATAAATGCTCTGTCCTACATATTGGCAAAAAAAAACAAAACAGAAAATAAAATACAGGCTGAATAGTCAAGACTTTGTTGATGATCCAAACTCTGTCAAGGATCTTGGAGTACTCATCTCAAATGAACTAAGTGCTAGAGCCCACTGTAACTACATAGCCAAAAAGGCGTTAAGAGTTGTTAACGTAATCTTACATAGCTTTTTCTCTGGTAATATTACACTAATAACTAGAGCATACAAAACATTTGCTAGACCAATACAGCTCATCAGTCTGGAACCCACATTACGTATCTGATATTAATACAGTTGAGAAAGTCCAGAAATATTTCACAAGAAGAGTTTTCCACTCCTCTACTTGTTGCAGAATACCTTATGCCACCAGACTCAAAATTCTTGACCTAGAAAACCTAGAACTACGCCGCCTTTGGTCCGATCAAAGTATAGTATATAAAATCATACATTGCAATGTCCTACCTGTCAATGAATACTTCAGCTTCAACCATAACAACACAAGAGCACACAATAGATAAAAACTCAAGGTTAATCACACCAAACTTGATTTCAGGAAATATGACTTCAGCAACAGAGTGGTCAGTGTCTGGACTACTCTAACTGACTCTGTGGTTTTTTTGCCAAACCCCCAAAACTTTAACCTTAAACTGTCTACTGTTGACCTCACCCCTTTCCTAAGAGGTCTGTAGGGGGTGTGCATAAGCTCACCAACGTGCCTACCGTCCCTGTCCTATTGTTTCTTTTATATATATTTTTTATTTTTCTTATATGTATCCATGTATTCATGTTTTTACTTATACCTATTATCTTGTAAGCAATTGACCAAAATAAATAAATAAAAAATAAAAATAAATAAAAAGCAAGCATAGCAGATAATTAATTATTAAAGAACTTGCACATATCCTTGCCACTGTATTTCCAAGGCAAAATTGCATTGTCTTACTTACATCTAGAGCAGAAGAATAAAATACAAAGGTAAAATACAATCTCTTGGAAAATAATAAAGAACATAAAAATATTTAGGATCTTCCTGGTATGCCTAAACAGCAAATGTCAGGCAATAATTCCAAGCAGAAATTTAGGCCAATTAAGGCTATTTTATGTAGGTTAACTGAGGAACTTCATGAAAAAAAAGAACTTAGGACTTAAATGGTTGTATACTTTATAATTGAAAGACTGTTTCCTCATTTTGATGTGTTTGTATCTCACCTTTCAGTGCTGTACATTTGTGAATGTACATTTCATCAGCAGGCAACGTGCTACAAATTTGAGGGGTGGTTTGCCAAGCCCAAGTGCCAAGCAGTTTGGTAATAGCTGCTTTATTTGTTTCTTTATACCAGTGATGGCTAACCTTTCCATCATTGTGTGCCAAAAGTATGCGTGTGTGCGTGCCAGCACCCATAAGGCAAAAGCCCCCCCATGCCCCTGCACATGCATGCACAACTCCCATGCACATGCTGCATGTCTCTGCACATGCACACTGATCCCCATGCTCCCCGCACATTTCTACGCATGTGCACATGTCTCCCACACACACCTGCCCCCTCACACATGCATGGCAGCTACCCGATGATCAGCTGGTGGGCAGCGCGCGCACATGCTCAGTAGACTTGCTCTGGGGCAATGACTCGCGTGCCGGTGGAGATGGCTCTGCGTGCCATTTCCAGCACACATGCCAAAGGTTCGCCATCAGGGCTCTATACCATGTGAATCCTCAGAATTATCTTAGACCAATCGAGAAAGTACAGCAAATATAAGCACAGTTTTTAAAAAACCTTGCATTTGCATCTGTTTTATATTAAGTTCTCTATCTGGTATAGCAGGAAATCTGTTTCTGGAAGAATAGACTTTGGTTTTAACTGAGATAGCTATCTCTGGTTCTCTGGGAGAGCTTTTGGCACTTCACTGTCAACTTTTAGAAGTAATCTAATAAAGAAGGCCTTTCCATGATGAATTTAGCAAGTTTTTGAAGTTCATCTTCAATCCAATTGTACAAAGTTGAATCAGTCATGCAGTTGTTACCCAGATATATTTGCCAGTCATCTAAAATACTTAAGAAACAGGAAGATTTATATTTTCACTGCACAGGAATGGGGCAGAAATGAAGTTTCTTACATGAAAGAAAGTGAATTTTCTTTTTTTAAACAAAGTGAATTTTCTGCAAAAAAAAAAAAAAACCTTCATATTTTTCTCTTATATATTGAAGGATTGTCTTATAGAAGATAGCAAACTGGTTTTCTGCTACTATATATCAGGGATCAATACAATACAAAATACATTTTGATTGAACAATGAAAGAAATTTCTTAACAGTAAGATATAATCACAGTAATTTATTTCACTCAGTTTTGTTTGCCAGTTTGTGCTTGAGAGCGGCAGTTTTGACTGTTTTTGTAACAATAACACCTTTTGGTCTTTTGTCCTAGAAAATAGCTTTTCTTATATTGCTGTCATGCACAAAATAAACAGCAGTTACATAATTCTTCTAGGTAATTTAAGGGAGAACATGGTCATATGATTTATCTGAGTTGTTAAATGAAATATAAAGATGTGATTGTATTTGTATATACTGCTATATATGTAAATGATATAATGCATTCTTTTTAATTCGTCCAAAAAAAGAATAAATCCTGGTTTCACTAGTACAATTTTTGACTTCTTAAGTTAGAAAGATTTATGTAACACTATTTGATTATTATCTATTTTCCCTGTGCACTTGAGGATCCTTTTAGGCAACAGAATCCTATTTGTGGGGAAAATAGAGTAGTAGCTCTTTTTAAAATATTATTTTATTGTATACCCAATTACTATCCATTGATATATCTTTGAAGTACCCTGCTTGATCTGTGTGTCCCACTTCATGTATGATAATATTTTTGTGTTTAATAGCATTTCCTTACAATAAAACCCCTGCTTGGAAACCACAAAGAAGGGTCTTCCCCTATGAACTTTCTCACCCCACATATTTACAGAAATGTTTCACAACCTCTGTTTCATTGACTAAACAGTTTTGAAATGGACTTTTATTTTTCATTTTTTGCTTTAAATCTTGCTTTTATTTTATATTCTAATAACAGTAAAAGTTCACAAGGCAACATTCATTCAATATTTTTACACTATAATAATCATTCCATTGCGATTCATTCCTTCATGCAAAAAATTGAATTTTATGTGAGATTTTTAAAAATCATAGTTAAAGGTATATTTGAACACCATTTTTAATTGTTATTTTTTTAAAAAAGTTTCCACTGTTGACCTATAGGTTTGGCAACTAAGAATGAGAATATAAGTTTTTATTAATCAGAATAAATTAGTATTCTCTCAAACGTATTTTGTATTAATGTCAGGCTCAACCTTCCTTCTTGTTCCCCGCACATCATTCTTTTTTGGTAACTATACAGTTGTATTTCTCATCTTGTTCTTTTTGTTTATTTTATTACTCTATTATCTTACTTCTGTTCACACTGTTTTAATTTATTCCTTTGTACTTTTCTAAGCACCTAGAGTAGCCCATATTGAGATAGGCAGCAAATAAGTTTAACAAATAAATAAATACATTTAATAAACTCAACTCAGGGATGCATTCTTACCATAAAATTTTCTGTTAGAATAATACAACATAGGAATAAATGAATTGTTTTGTTTGCATCCCTTCAAACATTTCATTGAATTATTATTAATTGTTTGCTCAAATCTATATCCCATAGCCTGCAGTTAAATAAAAGGATTGCTTATCCCTTATGGCATCTTGTATGTTCTGGAAATTGTTATTTTGGGTTATGAATGATAATAATTAATTTCTCAAAATTGTTCAAAGGCTGAATTAGCCGTTTCACTTTATAATTCAAAAAGTTTCAAGTTAAAATCACATTTGATGTGAAATCAAATCAAGATATCTGATGGTCTGCCTCAGATTTTATCTCTCCTTTACTGTGTAACATTGTTATAGAAATTTCTTATTTTATATTAATCGCATTTTCTTCATAACCACAATGGAATTTTCCTAGATATATCATAAAAATCCAGATGCTCTTTAAAGTAAGTTAATGGGGAAACATTGTTTCTCACTTCTAAACTTTTCATCCTTCAAACTGAAACATAGCTTTATTAAATGTGTTCTTTATATTTCTTACACTTATAAGAACCTAATTACAAGACTCTTGTAAGTCTCAATCCATGGTTTTGCTATTTCCAGTATGAATGGAATCACATATTCCAAATGAACTGCTTCATTATATAGTTTTAATGAAGTTATTTATCTCCCATTATCCCTGCCTCTGTCACCCATAAAGAATTTTCTGTTGATCTTCAATTTTTTAGCATTAAAATGAAATGTTTCTATTTTTCTCTGAAATTATTGGTATTTTCCCCCCTGAAATTTCAACTGTCAAGACTTGTAACAAGAAATATAATTTTGAAAGTGCCATCATTTTAGCAATTACTATTCAAGTATTTCTAGTGCCATCTTTTTCAAAAAAATTTAAAAATAGGAATATTCTTAAATGGAAACTTTTATAATAATGTACTGCATTTAAAGTACATTTGTCATTAAAAGCAATATTCTTATGTCATATTAAATTAAAATTGATATTGTGTGAAATGGTAGCAATATTGTAGTTTTGCTTTTATTGTGCACCTAGTTCACCTTATTAAAAAGAGTGTTCGCCTTTCTTGTCTATGACTATCTTGTTGCAATTCATGTCTTTGCTTTAAAAAACAAAATAAAATAGATATATGTATAGTGCTATTAATCATATGTATAATATGTGTAACAAACACAAGTTTATTATATGTTTTATATACTACACTATAGGTAGGATTATTTAAATTTTAAATTATTTTTTAAAAAATATTTTACAGTGGTCCTATGCTTTAGAGAAGCCAAACACTGGCAGCATATTCAATATTGCTTGGTCTACTGATGGTACACAATTAGCTGGGGCTTGTGGAAACGGACATGTGATTTTTGCCCATGTTGTGGAACAGCGCTGGGTATGGAAAAACTTTGGAATAACATTAACTAAGAGAAGAACCATGGAGGTATGTGTTGGCTATCTAAAGTTTGGTGAAGAGTGGATTATTTTTTAAGTACAACTTTTCTCTTCAAAACAGTTGATACCTTTAGATATGTTTGTGGTTAACAGGCTTGAATCAGGGGCTTTTTTAAGAATTTACTTGTATTAAGTCAATAATATATTGTTCGTGAGGATAACATATTATCATTTAGCTAGGTAAAACAGTCTTCAGTGTGTTTCCAGTGGAATGAGCATGTTGGTTCATGCACTTATGAACGTAGTCAAATCTTTAAATCTAGAGCTATCCCATAGAGTACCTAAAATGTGTATTCCAGCCTGGATTGATGCTTTCATTGGCTAGAAAGGCAGAATCAAAAGAATATTTTTATACTGGAAATAGTTTTGTAACATTTGAAAATAAAGTCAGTACTTTGGAAGCAATAACATATACTTCATGTTTGAAAAACTTTGTTGCCTTTTTTTTAAAAAAAAAAATCTTATTTGTATCCAGTATAGCTGTGGTTTACCATTATAGCAGCTGCAGTGTTATCAGCTGTTTCTGAAGTGTTGAATCTTCTTTTGTACTGTTTTTTTTGCTTAGGGCAAGTGTAAAAGATACCTGTTTTCTTTTATCTAAAAATCAGAAAATTACCACATTTTCTCCCAAACCATAATTAAATTGATTAATATATATTTCTATAGAATGCTGGTGGATATTATAATTGCTTTCAACAAGGCGTAATACTGATCACTTGTTTTATTACTGGATACTTGCAGAGTCAAGCTTGACCGGGGAACAGTTTTACATTGCGTATTGCTAAATAAATAGCTACAGCAAAAATTAAAGAGTCCCTTTATTAAAATCTTTTAATAAAATATTTTGGGGCAACAGCATTTTTTTAAAGTTACATTTATAGATTCCAAATACATAGTTTTACTTAAAAATGGGTTTTTATCAAAATTGTCTACTATAAAATCGATCTAGAAGTATAAAATAGCATTTCATCTGGCAAATATGCTATATTCCCCAGAAAGACAGTGACTTATATTATCACACCAAAGGACTGGAAGATAATATACAATTTCTGAATTTCAATTTAGAATAGGAATTTAGACCAAGTTTTTTCGTCCTGGTTCCCAACATTGGATAGGCCAAATCTCTAATTAAGCACTTAAAAATCATTTGACAATTTTGATGCTGGTTATATAAGAATATTCACTGGATGGAATGTTATGAGTCATTGTCTGGAAATACAGAAAACAAATTTGGTAGGTAAAAATCATATTTTATACTCACTTCCAGCCATAAAATTGTAATGAATGAATGTAATAAAACCTGTATTTAGAATTGTGTTTTACTTATAAAAAATATCTGAGTAACCTGTACAATGAAATCTTTATTACTAAAGTGTACTATTAATCTGTATATGAATGTTAGCTATACAGGATACAATATTGGATTGCTTTAGTTTGTATTGGCAAGTAATGCTTCTCTCTCTAGTTTATATTATTTTTATAATAAATTTCATTATATATTACTGTAGATAGAATGCCATTACTAAATAAAAAGTGGCTCATTTTTAATATTTATTAAATAACTTATTAATATTTCACCTATTCTTACTTATTATCATTGTTTTTTTCTAAGGAATACTGACCATTTTTATTTTCCAAATGTCAACTTTCTGTAAAGGTTTTATTGAAGCTATTTTTTGATTTGATTTGATTGCTGCCTGTTTTGCCTCAAGGTTGCTTACAACATTTTAAATGCACCAGCCTCTAATACATGTCTACTCAGAAGTAAATCCAGTTGAATATCCTTCAAAAATGGAAATATGTGGGATGGATGATCCCACTAGATAGATTCATAGTTGGTTTAAGAACATAGCTTGAACGTGGTCTTTAATAGTTCCAAGTCAAATGGAATGAGGTATCCAATAGGTACCTCATTTCTATTCTGGGCCTAATGCTCTCTTTTTCATAAAGACATAGGTGATAGGATAGATAGGATGCTCATCCAGTTGGCAGATAACACAAAAATTGATAGGGGAAGTACTGTTAACACTTCAGAAGGATTTTGATAAGCTTGAACAATGAGCTCCAGCCAACAATATGCAATTCATCAACAAGAATATAAGGTTTTGTACTGAGGCAAGAAAAATAAAATGTACCAGTACAAGATAGGTGGTATCTGGCTTGTAAATAGTACTGTGAGAAAGATGTAAGTGTCCTTGTAGACCACAGATTAAGCATGAGCCAGCAATGTGCTACATCTGCCAAAAATTGCTAATAAGATCATAGGAAGTTCTGTGCTGCGCTGGTCAGATCACACTGAAATACCATATTTGGTTCTTCTCATGATAATTCAAGGAGGACCCTGGAGAACTGGAAAGAGTACAGAGAAGAGCAACAAAGATGATGAGGTGCTTGGAAGCTAATCACTTTGAAAAATAGTTAAAAGACATTGATATGTTTAGCCTAAAGAAGCCAAGATCCAGGGGAGACATGATATCAGTCTTTCAATACTAGAAGGATTGTCATAGAGAATAGGATGTGAATTTATTCTCCATGGCTCCCAAAGGTAGAACATGAACCAGCAGGTTGAGGCTTTACAAAGAGAGAGAGAGAGATTCAAAAGTTAATAGGAATTTCCTGATCATGAGGGTTATTAAGCAGTGGAGCCTCCTAAAGTCATGGGAGCTTATTGGAGATTTTTAAGTAAAGGTTGGACAGCCATTTGTCTGGTAGGTTAGACTATAAAACTGCTAAACTTCCTCCAGCTATGATAATATGATACAGTGGAATTTACTTCCAGTAAATGCTTAAGGAAGACAGTTTGTAAGTTCCAGTTGTCCGTGAGTTCCTTGCAACTATATAAAAATGAGCTATTCTTTCTGCAAAACTAGGTAGATTTTTTTTCAAGAATTTCCCAGGATTTTTCTGATGTATTAAGTAAATCTCTAATGCCAGCAGTACAAAGCCAAATATAGCAAATAATATTTTATTTGGTGATTTTTTTAACATTTTGAAAATCTGTAGTGTGACAAATAGTTGTTTTAGACAGATCCAAGGGTTTTGTGCATTGTCATGTGCACTGGAGTCTCTTTGGAGAGCCAGTGTGTTTAGTAGTGCTTAACAATATGGACTATGGCCAGGGAGACCCATCTTTAAGTCCATTCTTAGCCATGGAAGTTCAGTGAGTGATTTTGGACCAGTCTAAACTATCCAGTAGTTCAGCGACCTCCAACATTCATCACATGCAGTAGGGGAGGGGTGAAATAAAATAACACACATTCCTTCATTCTTCTTCACAAAAGTTAATTTGCATTAACATTAGTCTGGTAGTTTAGGAAAAAAATGCTTCCAAGTGCTGAGAGGTGATAAGGAAATGTTGATTATAAATTCTGCAGGCAGAAACATGCATGTACAAAATTAGGCTCTCCAGCAGTGGAATGTTACATCTTTTTTCCCCTAGAATGCTCTGAACTAGGTATTCTGGGGTGATATTATTCTGAAAGTACACTGAATAGAAAGTGGTTTGTGATGACCTGGATTACGGGTGTCAAACTCGCCATGTCACATTGCCGTTCTGTGACTTTTGCAACGTTTTCCCCATTCATGAAGTTGGGGTGGGCGTGGCCTGCACATGACACATCCGGCCCGCGGGCTGCCAGTTTGACACCCCTGAACTAGATGTATTAAGCATTAGAGAATGTCTTAAATGCTGTTAACTTTTCCAGAATATCCAGATTGGTCCATTCAAGGGGATAAACAGAATGTCTTGGAGAAATCAGCAATACTCTGTTGTCAGTGCATCTCATTGCATATCCCTATGCAAAGCTCTTCCAAGTGGTTTAATTATTTAATTATTACCAAACTTAATTATTACCAGAGTGTTTCAAGTGGCAGCAAATGGTGATCAGTTGTAAACAGTATTTGGTGATCAGTTGTAAACAGTATTTCTGTAAACTTCAGAACATTGTAAGTTCTTCCAACCAGATTTTAAATCTCTGTGATGTGCAGAGGAAGAACATTGATTATATATGGTTAGAATTCACTGGGTTTTTTGGTAAAAATGAAAGTTGAGTGCAGATACAGGAAGAGATACAAGAAGAGTGTCCATATGAATATAATGTGGAGTCCCACCCTTGAAAAATTGATAATTTCCATAAGCCAAAGAAGTGTGACAGAGTATCCCAATATAATGAACAATAACAGAAACATTGCAAATTTCAAAAGAAAAATGGATATATTATTATTTGGGGAAATGCCAAGGAAGGGAGGAGATGTTTTAGGTTAGATTTAGCAAGGCTTCTGTGTCATAGAAACTTCCAGTAGGTGGTGTATTTATTTAGTGAACTAAAAAAAGTCAACTGAAATAGGATTAAGAGTGAGGAGAGGTTCACAGCCTACTTGTACTGACATTTACACGTTAGCTTCCTTAAAAGGCAATCCTTTGCCCATTTAAACTTTTAGAAATTATTTGAGAGTGAGACAGGTGGTGCTTAAATTGATAAATAAAAATACAAATATGTCATATGTATGGAAAATATTTTTGTCAGGACTTGATCTGGTGGTTTAAATATTACAGTATTGCAAGTCTTTTGTAAGCGGTCCTTTAGAATTCATAAGAGTATACAAAGCATCTATTTTTGAATTCCCAATTTAAGCAGTCTCAACTTAAGTGACTACTTCAGGGGCTCCTCACGTGCATAATACACCCATTTCACAAGAAGAGAACAAAAAGAATGCATATGTGGAAACAGCTGGGAGAGCTTCTGAAATAGCTGCACAAACTTAGAAAATATGTGATTGCCTCAATGATATGATATTTTGCAAGCACTCCTGCACTCCTGAAACACTCCGTTCAAAGGATATGCCCAGCTCTATTCTGGTCATCTTTAAGCTAGGTGTTACATAAAAGGATTGAGTCCTTTTAGTTTGGTTTGGCTTGGTTTATTCTCAATATATTATATGGTCTTATTTTTAAACAATTGCTTGTAAGGTTTTTCTGGAAAAGTATTTTAATTGCTAAATACAATGCTGAAGAAATGGTACATTTGTTTAAATTTATTATAGTTGACATTAAAATTGAAATGCTCTACTTACATATTTAAATTTGATTTACTTTAACTATGGGCTTTTTTATTATTAGGTTCGTAATGTACTTAATGATGCAGTGGATTTGCTGGAATTTCGTGACAGAGTCATTAAAGCATCTTTGAATTTTGGTCATTTAGTAGTTTCAACATCTCTCCAGTGTTACATATTCTCGTAAGTAATTAGAATTGAAGAGATATCATCTGATAAAGTGTAAATATGTAATAATTTTGATGTGGTTTGATTTATAGAAGCAGACAAAATTTAACAAATAAACTGCAGTATAAAACTCTTCACAATTACTCACGAAATTGATTGGGTATACTTAGTTACCTATGAGGAAAGCCTTTGTAGTGAACCCATATAGTTTCCTTAACAGAACTAAGTCTTTTAATGCAATTATGAATTTTTAGAACTCTTAATTGATCTGCCTAGCAAATTACTATTGCCAAATCACTGAACTTTTTTTTAATGTGAAGTTCTTTTTAAATGGGTATGTGGGCTGTTTTGAAGGAATATGCAATGTTCTTGTAGGATACGCTTATGTGTCTATGTACATTTTTTGAATCACAGTAGCTGTAACTGAACAATGTTGTTATAATAACTAAAGGAAAAATATAAAAGGCAATTAGATAATTTGTTTTTAAATCAAGTAAAAGTATTTCCATATTTTCCATATTTGGCAATCTTAGGATATGTAGCTTTCTTGGGGTTGTATATTCTGTATAAATGAAGACATTCGTTAAATGATTTGTTTAAACAAGTTTGAAATATGTACTGCTTTCCCTTTATTTTAGAGTTAAAAACTGGAATACACCTTTAATCTTTGACCTCAAAGAAGGAACTGTCAGTTTAATTTTACAAGCAGAAAGGTATATATTTTAAATGACTGTTTAGACCATTTATTTTTGTTAAAATAAAATTTATTCAAATACCATAAGGCATTTCTATTTGCATTTATTTCAGTGAGGATTGACAATCCCACACTCCCTTTTTTCTGTGGAATAACAGATTTCTCTTATAGTTGGAACTACAGAGTAGAAACAATAATTTGTGTGTCCATCCCCCTCCTCCCCCCAGTCTTAAATGTAGGTAGTAGCTACTATTTATTTTAGGTCTGTCACTTGCTGGTTGTAACTTAAGAGCTAAAACAAATGTCTGCTATATCTTCCTAGCAGGAGAAGGATGGCAGTGGCTTGAGCAAAAAGATATATTGGCCTTAACATTTGCCTAATTGCCTGCTGGAGATGATTGGAGCTTTAACTTGTTGTGACAGGCTTTCATCCTTACCTAATTGGAGTGGGAAAGGAGCATTATTTGGAGGGAGAGAACTTGCTTCTCTCTGGAAAGTCTTGCAGTTGGTCTTGTCTCAAAACTGTGTTTAGTCCAGTCCAGTCCAGCGTTGCTCACTTCTTCCCAAGCAAGTTTGCATCCAGTTTCAATCTATAGTTGGAATAGATTATTGATGTTATTGTTGTCTCACTTAATATGCTTCCTTTTTACACATTAAGAACCTGTTTGGATGCTGAGAATCCAAAATTATGTTTGAGAAGAGAGCAAACAAGAGAAAAGAAATTTAATAGTTATTTGCTTATCATTTAACTGCTATCAAGTAATTGGAGCATTAGTATGTATTGGCCTGACTGTAAATTGGTCAGCTGATATTCCACTCCTTTACACAATAAACTAATTAAAATTGATGATGTTCTGACAGTTCAAAAATGCATGTTGGATAAGTGAATCAGGATTTATTCAAAATAATATTAAACAACCTATTTTGACAGAATAGAAAACTCTAAAAACAAATGCTAGCATAATATTTTATAAGTTAAAATAATGGAATAAACTTGTTAAACAATGCAAGCAATTTACAAAACAATTAGACTAATTGTAACTATAATATTAACCAAGTTATTGATGGCTATAATCTCACCCCCAACTCTTAGGCATTTTGTTCTTGTTGATGGTGGAGGAATCTACTTATATTCCTATGAGGGACGTTTAATTTCCTCTCCAAAGTTTCCAGGCATGAGGACTGACATACTGAATGGCCAAACTGTATCCTTGAGTAGTGATACTTTAGCTATAAGGGACAAATCTGATGAAAAAGGTATGTGTACACATATGTTTAATGTAATGTTTAAAATATGTTTTATATGTTAATTAAAATATGTGGAAAAATTTCCTTCCTATATCGTTAAAATATGATTCTGAAAAGATTATTCATTCTCAGATATGATGATATGGTAACACAATCTCCTACTTGGAAACATGTCTATCCATGATAATCTAATGCCCCATGTGTATCTCTTATATTTTTTAAAAAACACAAATGATTTATAAAAGGTAGTTTAGATTGAAAAGCAATTCTGTTTGTTTTAAAAAGCAAACAATAAAATATTTGTGAAACAATATTAATTGCATAATATGTTTGGAATCAGCTACCATATCACATGATAGTACAGAAGTGTGTTCTTTGTTCTTTTTTTTGGTAACACTTTTGCCTTTTGGGTCTGTTTTAATAATCAACAAATTTTAAAAAATATCTTTTTAAATTCCTTTTTATTCTTTTCTGAGAAACTGGAGTTTCTAATGCACTCAGTTTTCCTAATTTTACCATCGTAAGAGTTTGAATAAAAGCTTTTGTAAAAGTTTTGAGCAATGAATCTGAAAACTTGCATCAAAAAAAGATCCCAACTTTCTGAAGTCAGAAGTTACTTGTGTTTACACAGCTGGCTCAAACTAGCAATGGACTTAACTCTTTTTTCATATGTAACCAATAAGATCAGAACACCTGTTCTTATAACAGCATTTTTTCCTGCCAATATAACCAGTGACCACAAACCAATATCCTGTATCCTTCTGAAGAAAGTCATGATATTCAAATGGAAGAATCTTTGAAAGTTCAATGTGTTTGTTGCATTGAATTTAAATGAGATTATCAGTTAGATTTGGCATGTAATATCAAATAGTTTAGATTGTGTTTAGAATTAATAATTCTTGTAAATGCCTTTGCATTCTGATATGTTTACTGTACATTATTATTAGTATAATAGTGCAGAAACCTCACATGCAGAAATATTAAACACTTATTTAATCTTAAAGTATAAATTAGATAAAATCAACATAATAAAACACTGTATTTTTGTTGGCTGTAATCATGCAGCAAGATATTTATCCCCAAATGTTTTCACTTTGCTGGTTTAGCACCAAATCTACATTTACCAAGAGTAAATTGAAGTTTGAAAGACATTCCAACTAAGCTTGTGATGACAAAATCACCCTTCCAAGAAAGTATTTCAAAGTAGAACATCTTAAAGTAGTTCAAAATGTATTATAAAAAAACAGTGTACTGATACTTATTATTTTTATTTATAACATTTATTTATTACAAATATTCACTTTATCCTACTCTTCAATTAAAAAGACCACATTACAATATGATTAGTTTTAAAAATCCATTCCATTCCAACTTACTGTTTTATACTGCAGAGGCATGGTACAAAGCAGAAAGTGATGGGAAGAAAGAAGGAAAATAATAAAGCTTGCAGGTCACTCATCCACTAAGGCAGGGGTGTCAAACTTGCATGGTCATGTTGTTGTCATGTGATGTATCACAACTTTTTTCCCCTTCACTAAACCAGGGGTGGGTGTGGCTAGCATGTGATGCATCAGGCCCATGGGCCGCCAGTTTGACATCTAAGGTATCAGACCTGGAATGCAAACATTTAATAGAACCATCAGAGGACAACAAAAAGATTTTTGAAAACTCTTTTCTACTATTTATTGGTCATATGGATTTTTGTAGCCCAGATGTGGTAACTCCAGTACTATAGTAATTCTAAAATAATATTCCTAGACTGTAGTCCCATATATTCTGACAAATAGTTTCCACATAGAGCATACATCTGAATAGATATGTATGGAATTGCTTGACTGTTGAAAATTAGCCTTTTTAAAAAATATATATACATAAAAGTCAACAATATGGAAAGAGACAATTTTGAGGGGTTTTATTTTAAACTTCATGTTAATTAATGTGAACCAAATCAAAATTTCAGTACAAATTACAAATAATAAACAAAAAGCTGACAACACTGACATTTCAAATCACATCAAGTCAGAACAAGTGCACGTTCTGTTTTCCCTGATTTTTATCTTTCAACCAAATGTCAGAGATATCAGTTTTAAGTTTTCCATCTGTAAACTATTTCTTTTGAATATGTATAATAATTGTAGGCAGTTTAATATCAGTAATTGATTGTTCTTGTTGGAAGAAGGCCCTTGGATTAGTTTTCTAGGGATGCTACGGATATCAATATCAGCTACCATGATAAAAACAAAACAAAAAAATGTCCCTTAAAATTCCTGCAATTCTTTTAAAAAGTCAGTTTTTTCAATTGTACCCAGTCTAATGGGGCTCTGGGATTGTAAAAGGAATATTGCGTATTGCATGAAGACTGCCCACCCTATCATAGAATGATTGTAGTAAACACCACTTAAATTATATAAAATTGTAGGCTTGGGTAAATATAAAAATTCATATTCAAATCCCTTCTCTACCGTGAGTCTTTATTTTACTTTATTTTTCATGATTTCCACTATTCCTTCTGAGTAAAGCTAGTTATCTAGTCATTCAAGTTACAGATTAGTCATACAAGGTTATAACTGTAAAATGCAATCCAAATTCTAAAGGAATTTAAGTTCTCACTAGTTGCTAAGCTTCACGAGACATGGAGATTACAATATCAGGGTCAAGTGAAGATGAGATTTCCAATAGTCCATGCCTTCGAATTTTCTATAAATTATACATGATTGTATATCCCTAATGCAATTTTTCCTAAATAAGGGTTTATTTAATGACTGAGACATTCACTTAACAACTACTGTGTTCATTTTATGATCACTTGTTCGCTTAATGTCTGCTGTAAAATACTGGGTGCAATATGATGATCCACATGAAGCCGTCATGACTTATGTCCTTAATTTCAAGTTCAGTTAGAGTCATCAGCTGAGGTCTACCCATAGTTGTACCATAGCTTCCAGCTCTTTGACCATCCGCTTGAAGGAGATGGTGGTTTTATAGTTAGAATCTATGAGGCCAGACTCAGGGACTGTGAGACCCGATACTCAACTGATACTTGGACCTGAGCCTTCCTGTGTGCCTCAGCATTATTTTGTTCCTCATCAGAGGATTTACATCTCAGCTAGGAAAATGGTAGAGTTATGAAGATACTAAATTGAATCAAAGTTATACAGCATTTTATGCCTTGAAAAGAAGAATAGAAATGACTGTTTGCTAGATTGAGATAAAGAAAGATAAATTGCTAGATTACTAGCAAGAATGTTTCAAAAGAATATGACTCTTGTACCAACTACTCAGTAAAAGTTATCAGTGTCCTTTTTTGAACTGTTAAATGCATTTATTAAATTAACCTGGAAGGGTCTCCATTTGATACTTTTCTGTACTATATAAATCATTATAGGTATCTCTGAAAATATGATATCTATATATTTATAATAATAAGTTTTTTCATCTATTTTTTTTAAAGTTATTGATCTGTTTGAACCTTTATCTGGCAAACCATTAGGAGATGGAAAACCTCTTAGTCATAAGGTAAATAATGTTTAATATTTCTGTATTTATATTGGAAAAAAGTATACTTACTTTATATTAAGATGTTACTGGCATTGAGTAAAATTTTACCCAGATTCTATTTTCTATTATCATAGCATGTTTCAGTTTGAAATCAGATAAGTCTGAGCAGATTCCTGTGTGTTATATGATTATTAAGAAGTCACTTGTGTTCATTGATGCTTACTCTGAGACTGAGTTGCAGGAAGACATTTTTAAAAATTATTAGTAAGAATCAGAAGCAAGGTGATTGAAAGCTGATATTGCTCAAGCCAATAATACATTAAGAATTTGGGCATCTTTTTTCACAGTTCTTGTTCTTATAAAATAACATTAAAATACTAAGTTTTATTTGAATGAAACTTTGTTACTGTAATCACATGCCACAAATGTTCAACTGGAACATGTCATGTCATTTTAATCTTTTCATAGTAATAACAAAAGAATTTTCTTTTTGAAATGAGGAAAACCCATTTAATCATGCATGAAGTTCTCTGAATCCATGTGAAATATTTAAATAGTAGCTCTGACTTAAGGAGGACGACATACAGTAGTCTTAAATTTGTGGATTAATAATTCTTTATTTTCTAAAAAATTCTTTCCATTCCCATTTGATGTGGCTCTGAGCTACATTTAGTTCCATTGGAAGAAAGATTGACAAATAAAATATAGATGTGTTAGGTGGAAAATCTGTACTTCCCACTTTAGATCATCTTCTAACAATGCCATTTACATTACTTCTACCATTGTATTATAAGAACGCATATTTTCTAAATTATCTGTTGTTTTATTAATTACATTAATTTATATGGCTGCCCAACTCTCACACAATTATTCTTACTTTGTTATAACAGTAAGCATAAGTAAATTTTTAATTGATAATATTGTACTATATACTAGCAATATTAACAGATTTGAGAATACAAATCTTTAATACTGCAAAAAAATCTTGCCTTGATACAAATATGGGTTTTGATTCAAATATTGTTACAGACAGAAATTGTGGAAATTGCCTTAGATCAGAAGGGTCTTACAAATGAAAGGAAAATTGCTTTTATTGACAAAAATAGAGATCTTTATATAACTTCCGTGAAGAGATTTGGAAAAGAACAGAAAATTATCAAAATAGGTAAGAACTGGCTTATCCAAACCCCCATGCAATTTAACAGTGTTCTAAAATTTGTTTTATTGATTATATGTAATTTGTAGAATATAATTTGTTCTTAGAAAGAATGGCATTGAGAGTGTAATGCAAAAACACCTAAATGTGTTTTGTTTCTTGTTTAGAATTTGTTTGCAGTAAGTTAATCTCTTGATCCCCTCAATAAATTAGACACCCCAAGATCAAACCTGTAGTGTCAGTGAAGTCAGTGAATGCATCATCCTATGTGGCAATCATTGATCAGAATTGAATTATTTACCTATTTAACAATACTCAAAATCTAAGCAGTAGCACGTTTTCGGATGTTAGCAGTGTATGACTGTATAATGTGAATCTGGCTTACCTAGCTCAGAGAAAAAATGCCTTATGAAAATAAATAATACAATAAAAATCCAAACTTGAAAAAAAATGAGCCCAGTTTAACATAATTTATGCAACATCTACATAGTTGAAATATTTATCGTTTTGTGAAGATACAGTGTAAAGATATTTAAAGAAGGAACGTAAGCAGATCTTGCAGGTTTACCCAACTACTGCCTCTTCTAAAAGTCTAAAAGTCATACAGTGTCAAAAAATAGGTAAACAGAAGCAACTGGAACAGCAAGCACATTTAGAGGGGAAAAAAGAGCACATGCATATATAATCAATGAAAAGTTTCAGTAGCCTCTACATGGAATCAACTTCAGTTTGCTTATATTGTTTTAATCTTTCAAGACAAGTAATTATGTAAACATTTTATACTAAAAACAAAAATATATTATTCAGAATCATATACCAGGAGAGAAAAGTTGATGATATTATTTGCAGTCTTGAGCAGTAGGCTAGAATAGATTATTCATCCAGTTTAGTTGATAGATATTTAGTTTATTTGGTTTCTTTTTTGTTAAGGAACAATGGTGCATACTCTGGCATGGAATGACACATGCAACATACTATGTGGTCTGCAGGATACACGTTTCACAGTCTGGTACTACCCCAATGTAGTGTATGTAGACAAGGATCTCTTGCCAAAAACACTCTATGAAAAGGATGCAAGGTATTTCTTATTTGATTTATACTCCATTAATAGCTTTCTCTAATAAAATATTTTTTAATCTGATCTTGGAGACTGAGACTCTATGACATAGGCAAACAACAATTTCCAACCTGATACTTCAAATTATTTGAGGAGCCAGAAGACCTTAACGGTTCTTCAGGTTTTGGTCAAAAAAATTCAACCTGACAGTTCTCTATTTTGGACGGGGTTTTTTGGAGGGGGGAGGCTAGAAATACGTGCATTTTGCCTTGCAGAAGTTTAGACATTTCCAGCCTCATTTTGGCACTTTGACACCAAAAATCAGGCCATTGAATGCCAGCAAATTTTAGCTGTGTTTAACTTTGTTTCTGAGGTTTAGACAAAGTATGCAATTGAAATGCATTTTGCTTTGCAGAATTTCAACACTTTTTAAAAGCATTTTTACATATATACCCAAAATCATATAACCAAAATTGGCCATTTTGTTTGAAGGCTGTAAATGGAGTTTAGGGGCAGGGATATGCATATAAACCATCGGTTATACATAATAGAGAAATACCTAACTTATCAGCTGCCAAGTTTATTAAATATGGCACTTCAGAATATAAACTTCCAGATTCTTTTGGACTGAACAATTAAAAAAACAATATATAAAAATTGGGCTGTATATTATTCCTTAATCTGTAAATTATAGATTAGCAGAACTGGAGTGAAGTGTCCAGTCTTATTTTTACCATGATCAGTGCATACTCAGAAATAAATCATAATTGTTATTTTAAATGGACTGTCTATTTCATCAGTATTCTATCCAACCTACATTCATTCTAAAATAATGTTTCTGAACTGTGTTCTTTTTTTCCAATAGTGAATTTAGTAAAAGTCCCCAGATCTTAAGTTTTGTTGGCAATCAGGTAACAATTAGAAGAGCTGATGGTTCACTTATTCACATCAGTATTTCACCATATCCAGCTATTCTTCATGAATATGTGAACAATTTGAAATGGGAAGATGCCATCAGATTGTGTCGCTTTGTCAAGGTAAATATAATGTTAACTTTTAGAAAAGGTTAATGGGGGAGAGACATGTGACTTCTTTAATTTTAAAATACAGATTATAGTAATGCAATAATCCCTTCAGACCTCCATCATAAAATGCTTTCCAAGGTAATTTTATTTGCCTGACTTGTGATGCACTGAAAGGGACCTACTGTTTAGAAAAACTATACATACTGTATCTTCTACAGGTAGTCCTCAAGTTACAGAAGTTCATTTAGTGACCGTTCAAAGTTACAACTATCCTGAAAAAAGTGACTTATGGCCGTTTTTCACACTTATGACCTTTGCAGCATCCCAGTGGTCACATGATCAAAATTCAGACACTTGGCAACTGGTTCATATTTATGACAATTGCAGTGTCCCAGGATCATGTGATCAAGTTTTGCAATCTTCTGACAAGCAAAGTCAATGGGGGAGCCAGATTCATTTTACAACTGTGTTATTAACTTAACAACTGCAGTGATTCACTTAACAACTGTGGCAAGAAAGATCGTAAAATGGGGCAAAGCTCACTTAACAAATGTCTCAGCAACAGAAATTTGGGGCTCAATTGTGGTCCAAAGTTGAGGACTACCTGTACTTTCCTCTGCCTCAAACTGTTAACAGTACTCAGCTTCAAATATATTTCAAAATATGTTTCTCTGTTCTTTGCTAATAAACTGGAGACATTTTCTTACACTTTAATATTTGGCTGCCTTTCTGATTACACTTGCCACCAGAGAGTTATGTATGCATTTCTGAGCAGCTTAACTGTAGGTTTGGCTATTATCATAACACTATTTGCATTCTGATTTCTGTACATAAGAACAAGTCATTTAAGGATAGAAGAAAAAGGAACATACAATAGTCGCTTGCTTGCTTATCATAACTTCCTTCTTTCTTCCTTCAAGAATAGCCTTTTTATTACAGTGCACCAGTGCATTGCATCTCCTAGCAACACGTACAGTAGTTTTGTAGCAGGTGCAAAATGAATACAAAAAAGAAAGCAAACTGAGTAGTTTGCTGGAACCTCTGTGGTTACCGATATGGCAAGAATATTTATTTGGTTCTTTTTTTAAAAAAATATTTTCTTCATTACCTTTCCAGTTTCCTAGATATTTATCATATATGATGTTTCTGTAAATCTCTTATTTTAAAGCAAAAACACAGGAACACGCGGGGATTGTTTTCTCTTGATATTACATTCCATCAGGTTGCTTCACAAGAAAGCATCCCTTTTGAAATGATTAAAGTAGCTAACTCATTTGCGTATACCATAAAGACAATTGGGAGCAGTTTCCTTCTCTCTTTCATGCCTTTTTCATTCTTCTTCCCCCACCCTCTAAGAAAGCTGCAAGGAACAAATTGGGCCAAAAGGTGTATTACTTTAAGTAATCTGACAATATTATATATTTATATTTCCTGTGTTTACTGAACGATAATGAACTATAGACAGGGGTGGGATTCAATTTCTCAACAACCAGTTCTATGGGTGTGGCCTAATTTGTGGGTGTGTCTTGGTGGTCATGTGATTGGGTGGACATGGCTTGCTGACTGGACATGGCTTGGTGGTCACATGATTGGCTGGACGTGGCTTGTTTGTAAATATTTATGTAAATATTGAATTTTTTATTTAAAAAAAGAGCAACTTCTACCCAAAATCAGGCAAAGCAGGCAGGCAGATTGAGTTGCTCACAGAATCACAGATTCACTTACAGATCTACCTTTCTGCAATCAGCTGCCTGAGTCTGTCACATAAAATTTGCTTGCAAGCAAACTCATAAAATTTGCTAGCAAGGAAACTCACAAAATTAACTCACAACACACTATGTATGTAAATATTGGGGGGGGGGGTTTATTAAAAAAGAGCAACTTTTACACAAAATCAGGCAAAGCAAGCAGGCAGATTGAGTTGCTCACTGAATAACAGATTCACTTACAGATCTACCTTTCTGCAGTCTGCTACCTGAGTCTGCACTGAAAAACAGAAGCTTAAGCTCTGCTTAAGTTCAGCTCTGCTCTCAGGCTACTTCTCCCCTCCACCCCTTGAATACCACCCCTGACTGTGCCTCAGGGAAGTCTCCTGGGCGAAGGTAAAGCAGTACAACAGTGATTTAGATTAGCTAGAAAACAAGAAATCCAACGATTTCCTGCTTTCTAGCTAATCTAAATCACCTGGCACAGCTGATAGTCTGAACAGCTGGTGGTCGGGGGGGGGAATGGAAAAATAGCAACTTACCAAAAATTAGGCGAAGGCACAATGCAGGTAAGTTGGATAGCACATATGGCAGATAAGGAGTGACTGGGAGGGCAGATGGAGCCAGCCAGTGGCGCGATTTGCGGTTCTCCGAACTGCGCAGAATCGTAACAACTGCTTCTGTAAAACCAGTCCGACCAGGTAGAATCCCACCCCTGACTATAGATAACTGCCAGAAGTACCCAGTTGCTCTGGAAAAATGCTAGTTAAGTAAATAGAAATATTCTGTATCTCAGTTAATTTTGATTCACTTATGTTTATTAAATTGTGTATTTGTTATAATGAGAGCAAATAAATACAAATGATGAATATAGTTCCTTGTTAGTTTCCAACAGCCTTATAATCAGGGATTATTTTCAGAATTAACACCACACAACCAGTGAAGCAAATCATTTCCTACTCAAGAAATTACCAGCTCAGAAAAACAAACAAGCATTAAACACCAGCTTTATCAAGAAACTACCACAGAGAAAACAACATTCCCACAAACAATATATAAACAGCGAGCAAAACTCATTCCTTTCTAACACTGAAGATGTTACTTAATGAAATTAGGTAATGAAATGTCTGCAAACAAATAACCAATCTTGGAGAGCACCAAGGATTCCACAGTTCAAACCTGAGCTACATATATTCTCTTTTATAATGCTATCTAAATGTTTGTCTTTATGTTATGAGAGGCGACTCTATAGTTATAGTGTCTATAACTCTATAGTTATAGTATAGTTAGACTATTTTATGTGTTTTATGTACATGATTTATATATTATTCTAGTTTTTTCTTTATTAAATGTGTACATCATCTGGGAACACACTGCACTATAAATGTATAAGAACATTGGTAGCCCATTGATTCTTAGGAAGTGGTTAAATTACATTAATATCAAGTTGGCATAAGATTAATGTTTATATTCTATAAGAAGAACAGTTATTTTAATATTTTCTTTTCAGGATCAAACATTATGGGCTTGTTTAGCTTCTATGGCAATAGCCAATAAAGATATGAACACAGCAGAAATAGCCTATGCATCAGTTGGCGAGGTAAGTAGAACGGTTCACTACTTAATAACTTTCAACAATTGACTGATAATATTTCATGCTAACCTGTTGCAATTTAAATGACTCTTGGCATTTGCTGCATTATTTAACTTATTGCAAAACTAGAGTTTAACCAAGTTTATTGTGCCTATCACATTTATTTTTATTTTTTTAAAAAAACAACAGATTGATAAAGTTCAGTATATCAGTTCCATCAAAGATCTTCCATCAAAGGAATCAAGAATGGCTCATATTCTGCTTTTTAGTGGAAATGTCCAGGATGCTGAAACTTTGCTTCTGCAAGCTGGGCTTATTTACCAGGCAATTCAAGTTAATATTAATCTATACAACTGGGAAAGGTAATACAGTTCTTATATAATGTATTACATTATATATTTTTGTCTTGGTTCAGATTTGGTTTTAACAATTTAAATCAGTGTTTATCAACCAAGGAGTTTGAAGATATGTGGACTTTAACTCCCAGAATTCCCCAGCCAGCTCTGCGATGGGGAATTCTGGAAGTTGAAGCCCACACATCTTCAAGCAGCCAAAGTTGAGAAACCCTGGTTTGAATGATAACTTACATAATTTTATCTCATTCCAAGTCCTATTTTTTTCTTTCAGAATTGAATATGTTGATGTAACATATATCAACATTTGTAATATACCATGTGGAATTGTTGATAAAGAAGCACAGGCCCCAGCCCTACTTTATTACACAGATTTTTTTTTTAAAAAAAAAGCTTTTGTACCTGATTATAACATCAGTACATTAGCTCCATGTATTCCTGATTATGCATGTTACTCACATGGCTAAAACCCAGATAAGGAAGGCACCTAAAATGTATTTTTTGAGGGGGTAGTAGTTCTTTGGCTCACTGCTTCACTCCTTCAGGTTGATTCCCTTAGAAAGAAATTATCCTGAGTTTAGAAAGATTTTGATTTTCAGGATTGTCCTAACATAAACCTCCATGCTAAAAATGCCACCTGTGAAATCTCTCCAATACCATAAAGGTAGTCTTAGTTATTCTTCTCTAAAACTTCTGATTTTGTGCCAATCTATAAATATGGAGCAATGGTGTTCTCACCTACTCTATAATGAACGTGACATATGTTAACAATGGAAAGTAACATGCTATTTATTAACTGATAAAATGCATACCAATCCCCAACATACTTAGATTTTCTTAGCTGTGTCTCATTTTGACACTGCCTAAGCTTATACATGTTCAGTTTCAACAAGACTGATACGTTATGAGCAGAGGTGGTATTCAGTAGGTTCTGACCAGTTCTGGAGAACCAGTAGCGGAAATTTTGAGTAGTTTGGAGAACCGGCAAATACCACCTCTGACTGGAGATTTTACAGTATCCTTCCCCTGCCACGCCCACCAAGCCACGCCCACAGAACCGGTAGTAAAAAAAATTGAATCCCACCACTGGTTATGAGGTTTTTGTTTCTGGTCCTTCAAAGAAAACAAATGTTACTGATAGCTGTACTAATATCAGGTCTTCTTGATGCAAAGCAGTAATTGTTTTATTGGTTACTGTTTTAGAATGCTAAGAGCCAAATTTGAAGGTTTCCAGTCTAAAGTTTCATGGATAGGAAATTTATGTGATGATTGTAATGTTCTGATTTGCATATTCTTATTGTGCATGTAGAGTCTTCTTCATAATCATAAGAGTAGGAACTGGGAATACTTTTTAATTGAACTATTGTCCATTTTAGTAAGATACCATGAAAGTGGGACAGAAAAGCAAAAAGGTTCACCAGAATTGTTCACTGGTATGAAGATTGTTACTTTTCTTTAGACCATCCAACAATTACGAAGACCACTATTTGCCAGAAAAATATAGATTAATATAATTAGAAAACACAAATGAACTTATTTAATGGGGAAACTAGTTTTCATTTAAAGCAATTGTTGCTTGGTTTCTTCTTGTTTTATGATAAGAAATTGTTTCCTTAGCGCAGTTGCTATACAGTGTGCATATTTATAAAACCAAGGCATTTGTGGTCATTTTAGTTTCTGAATTCGGCCTGATGAGCTTATTGCTGTTTTGCTTTCTTTTAGAGCACTAGAACTTGCTGTGAAACACAAGACGCACGTTGACACAGTGCTGGCTTACCGACAAAAGTACTTGGATGACTTCAGTAAAAAAGAAACGAATCAGCGATTTTTGCAATATGCAGAAAGGGCAAGTATTCTATGGAAGTTGAGTTATATTTTTTGAAACTCTGCCTTATAGCTATGAAACAATTTCAGACTGTAAGCCAATGTGTATTTAATAACACTGTGTGCTTGTACTTTAATTCACAGTATGAAACAAAATCAACAACTTGATTTTTTTTTCAGGATTTCCACTCAGGCTCAGTTATTAGCATGGATGGAATAGGGCCAAAGTATGTTAGGGGATATCTCTTTACAGTTATGAAAATCATACTGTGGAAATACTGTAGATTTAGATAATATAGGTATAGAATTTTTATTTTATAGGAAAAGACAAATGTTAAGAGGAGGGGGGCGTTTGCTGCTAAAGCTTTCAGGTTTATGATTTCACCAATACAGGCTAATCCAGTGAAAGATGCTGTCTTAGGTTATTCAGATGTGACATTCTGAGGAAACATTACAACAGTAGACATGCTGATTAGCTTATTAAAACTTCTCTAAGGGAAACTGAGTTTTATTTGAAAATCATATGCTGCTTTTGGCAAGCTGTACCATAATGTTCACACTCCTTTGCATAACAAGATAGAAACTTAGAATACTGTCATATGGGACTTAGCTGAGCCAGTAGTATCTGGCAAGTTTTGAATATATCATAATAAATCACAGAAACAGCCCCCAGAAATAAGATAAAATAGTTGTGGAAAAGAAAAGCCTCATATGGCTTTGAAATCACAGCAGCTATCATGCCATATTTGATGGAATTAGAGCCATTATACGCAGTTGGCAAGGAAGACAGCTGAAATCCAAATAATTTTATTTCAGAATCAAATTCTCATGTGATTGCAAGTTTATCACAGAGGGAAAAATATAACACGTTCTTGGACCCAAAGAACTTCATTCATGGTTTAGCTAGTTTTTGGGATTTGGTCATTTAGTAATTTTTTAAAAAAATTAACTAATTCATCAAACTGAGATCATTATAAAAGAAAATGGGCTACAATATTCTGTTTTTCCTTCTGTTCTACAAAGTATATGTATTTTGTAAAATCAGAATATACGGTATAACTTAGATAAAAGCATATAGATCAGTGCAGGAATTATTAACACAGTGGTTCCCAAACTTTTTCAGTCCACCACCCCTTTGGTGCTACAAACTCATCCTTGGTGCCCCCCACCCAGGGGTGGGATTCAAATTTCTGTGGGCGTGGCCTAATTTGAGGGTGTGGCTTGCTGATCATGTGACTGGGTGGGCATGGCTTGGTCACGTGACTGGCTGGGGGACGGCTTGCTGGCTGGGCTTGGCTTGGTGGTCACGTGACCGGGTAGGTGTGGTTTGGTGGTCACATGACTGAGTGGTTGTGGCCAAGTGACTGGCAAACCAAATACAAGTGGTCCTCACTTAATGGCTGATTGCTTAGCAAGTGTTCTAATTTATGACTAGCCTCCCCAGAGCTACTTGACCTGTTTTTTGGAGTTTTGACAGCCATGCGCGCGCACACCCACACACACATTCCCTTCTAACTCTGCTAGAGCAGGTCATTGGAATAGAATCGGCAAAGCATCTGTGATTAGATTCTAGTAGTGAATAGAATCTAATCAGAGATGCTTTGCCTATTCTTGTTTTGTTTTATTTGTATTTCTTTATTTTATGTTGCTGAATTGCATTGACATGTGTGTCCCTTCTTGTGCACAGAAACTTTTGTGATTCTTTGCAGCAAATTGGGTAGTAAAGGATGCTAATGGACGGATAGTAAACAGTTCAAGGGAGATCAAACAAAGATGGAAGGAGTACGCGAAAATACTATACTGTACAGTACAAATGTCACCATCTTTAGAAGATATTTCTTATATACCCCTTTCTTTCTTTGATCAATAATAATTTATGAACTTTGAATGCTGCTGCCCAACTCTCAATGCCACTCTACCATGCATCTTGAAATCTAGCCCAGTGTAAACTGGAGATGCTGAAGGTGTGGTTAACAACTTAAAATTTGGTGTAATTTTACGATGCAAACCTAAACTATCAGGATGGTTAATAGGTTACCTAACCCAGATAATTAGGTTAACTCAGCTAACCATGATTTAGCGTGAAAGCCAGAGGTTTTCCTTTGCTTTTCAAAACCTGGCCGCCTTTTTGCTGGAAATCTTGGTATAACTAGGGTGCGCGCATATGTCTTGCTTTCCTCGCACCCCACCATTGGCCCCCGAGAGAACCCCCTTCGCCCACCTGCGGAGGAGGCTTCATCTCCAGCCGCTGCCAGAGGGCTCTGGGTGGTGCCGGGGAAAAAGTCCAGCTTTCCATCTCTCTCATTCCGTGGCCCTGGGCGTCACTTGTTGAGCTTTCTGGATGACTCGGAGGCAGTGGCGGACCGGGCCAGGAGAACCGCCCTGCCGCTGGTCCATCTCACCAGCCGGCGGGAGACCTTCCTTGCAGCCGGCTTGACCCAGCCCAGGTGGGGACCTGTTGCGGCTCGGTGCAGGCAGCACTTCTGGGATGGGAAGAGTGAATCCCGCCTGCAGTGCTGCACTGATCCCCTGTGCCTGCAAAAAACCTCCAGCCGCCACGTTTTTTTTGGTGTGGCTGGACCGCTGTGGCCGTCAGCGATTGTTGCCCATGCACACGAAGTCACATATGTGCAATAAGGACTGACTGGCCAGGGAACGGAGGAGCAGGCGGAGAGGAGCAGGCCAGGCAGGGGCTCGTTTTACTGGTTCTCCAACTACTGGGAACAGTAATGAACCGGTAGAATCCCACCCCTGAATTGCGCCCTGCGAGGGGCCCACCTCCAGCGCCCCCCTGGCATCTCTTAGCGCCCCCTGCTGGCCCCCTTGCCTCTTAGTGCCCCCCTAAGGCATCCCACCGGCCCCCAGGGGGTGGTACCGCCCACTTTGAGAACCACTGATCTAACACAACTCAGGAAGGGTGCTGTCCAATCCTTGTTTGAAAACCTTCCACATGGGGAACTAAAGAACCCCCAGCATTATTATAGGCAATCTGTTCCTCTACTTAACTGTTCTTACCATCTGGAAATTCTTCATAGTATTCAAACTGAATCTCCTTTATTTTCTTTTAATTGCAACCTACTGATCATTTTTCTGTTCTCAGTTTCAAGAGAAAACAGGATGCCTCACCATTTATGCATGTGATTGCCTTTTAGATACTTGTTAGATTGCTTTTGTTTGTTTGTTTGTTTGTTTACTTATTTACTTACTGACGTTCAATTTCTATAGCTGCCAAATTTCAACCAAGTGACTCTCAGCAGCTTACATTCTAAAACGATGAAACAATTAAAAACAGTAAAAACATCCACAAAATAAATAAATACAAAGGGCAGTGTGATTATTTTAGTCTTCTCTTTTGAAAAGGAATGCACTCAGCTCCTTGATTTCTAGACCCCTTATCACCTTAGTAGCTCTCTTCTGAATCCACTTTATGTCCTTTTAAAACTGTGATTCCCTGAAGAAGATAATATTCTCTAGTCCATTTTCACCAGCCGAGTTTATCTGCAATTGACATTTGTATTGTTAAAATCAGCACCTTACTGTTGAAGCAATTTCTTGCTGAACTAATTAGTAAATTTTGCACAGTTTTATTTGTAAACAAAATGTACATTGTTACAGGATATATAGTAGATGAGAAAAAAAGCTTATTACAATGCATAAATACTACAGTACTGTACTTGAGGGGAAAAATACATGACTAATGGCTATTTTATTTCACTCATCTCTATGTATGCAGTGTTTCATAAATTGGAGTTCTTTAAAGAAGTTGCTCAAATATTATTCATAAGTAATTATATAATGACATAATAAATACATTTCAACTACATTTACCAAAAAAGTCTGAAGACATTTGCTGGATTCTGAATTTTTCCCATCTTAGTGAGCCATGTAGAAGAAGTGACATTGTAACTGTCCCCCACAGTGACTATCAAGACTGTTCTAATAGTTTAGGAAAAAAAGATTTCAGATAAGAATAAGCTTGTAGTAGATTACAAATATAGTGATCTGCAATTATAGATATTTAAAGATTTTACATCTTGAAAAATATGTATCAAGATGAACTATTGTTGGTTACAGGATACACACACAAAATGATTTCAGTTATTGGGTAGCAAAGGGCTTTTTTTTTTTAATAGGACTTAATTTACAGCTCAAACTCATATAAAGCTTAAACAAACATAACTACAATGTAATGTGTAACTTATAGTCCTTGTGTTTATTTGGCATATATCTGTATGTGTGTGTGTGTGTGTGTAGATTATATATATATATATATTTTATTGTTTTTTTTACTAGCCATTTTAGCAGTTCCCTTTCCAGCATTCTCTTCTGTGCTGTAAGGTTCAAAGTGCTGTGTGGGGGGGAAAAAATCAAAATCTCATGTTATGTGAAGGTAGTCCTTAACCTATCTCCATTTGTTCAGCAATCATTCAAAGTTATGGTGACATTGAAAAATGTATTTATAACTGGTCCCTGATTTTCTGGCCATCACACCATCCCCAAAATCACGTGATTGTAATCCCGATGTCTGGCTCACAATTTTGATTTTGCAGGGAAACACAGTCACATAATTGTTTTTTCCTACCTTCCCATCTTCACACAAATAAAGGGGAAATTGGCAAGGAAAGTTGCAAGTTACTCTGATAACCTACAGTTGCTCTCAACTATAGCTGCCCCACCACTGGTACACAGCCTCCACCGGTCCTCTAAGGCCTCCCTCAACATGCACAATCTGTGCTGGGATGCCAGAGCTCTCTTCTAGTTTCTCTCAATTCACAAGCTCCTGCCCTGGTCATACTGTTCCTAGATTTGTACATGGCATGCACTGGGCCACCCAAACCCACCCCAGCTTCCCTTGAGTCATGTGCCGCTGATGCCAAGTCTCTCAGGTAACATCTGGCTTTCAGTTCACATGTGGCTTATATCAGACCCACCCACCCCCCATTCCCAGATCTCTTCCTGGCTTCTCCCATACCTTATAGCATCATCTACTTCTTATCTGAAACTCCTGCAGCTTCCCGCTTAATGATCCACATATCTTGAGGTTACAACAGCTACCAAGACTGCTGGGATTGCTGTCACTAAGTTGTAGGATCATGTGAGGTTGCATTTTACGATTGCATCATTTAGTGATGGCAATTCCAGTCCCAATTGTTATCATAACCTGAGGATTGGTTGTATTTATTGTACCTAATTTAGTCTTTTCTATCATAATACTAGTATTTTCTCCCTAACTTAAAATTAAGAAGAATTTTGAACCAAAGGTAAAATGCAGAATCAGAGCAAGCCTAAACAATCTTCTTGGGCTAAGGAAACCCCAGATACATGTATGCACAACAAAAGCACACTCATAATTTTTCCCCTGCCCAGATAAAAAATATATTTTTCTTTTTTTTCCCCTCCCTCTTGATTTTGCAGCTTGATGTTAACTGGGATAAAATCAAAGCTAAAATTGAATTGGAAATTGCAAAAGAACGAGAACGAGCTACTGCTACTCCAACAGTCAGAGGAAGCATGATCATTCAGCGCTAAGAGTTGTATTGGTTTTATGAAATATGAACTTTGTATATGTAATTCAGCATACTAAGTTACTGATAATATTTATATATAATGCTTAGTTTTTTTAGTTAGTTTAGAAAATGAATTTGTATGTATGTAACCTGCTGGAATGATAAATGTTTTTGTTATAATGTTTATATTATAACGAATAGATTTCTAATACTATATGTAATGTTACCATTAAATCTGTCACATAATCAAATGATCAGCTATTCTGATTACCAACAGGCTATTCTTGTTCAGCATGAATTCTGAGAATACATTTGCTTATTACATGTAGGAATTTTACAATTAGTTTTTTTTAATGAAATATATGGTAAAAACATTTTCAGAAAATATTCACAAGTTAGTATATCCAATCATCTTTTGTCCAGATCTCCATGTTTATTTGTTTATTTATATTATACAATTGTACAGTATTTAAATAAACTATCATTTGGAATGAAATCATTTTGGGATGGGTAAATCATGTTAAATCTGTAAGATAATTTAACATTTTATGAGGTTTAATTTCTTGTAAATGTATTTATTTATTTACAATATCTCTATAGCTGCTTATCTTATTATCAATTATAGGAGGCTCCCAGTCAAAAGTTAAGACACCATTAAAGCCATATTTGGTCTAGTGGTTAAGGCTAGAAAAGGCTAGAAATCAGGAGACTGTGAATTCAAACCCCGCCTTAGCTAGGTAACTTTGGGCCTGTCACTCTCTCAACCCAACCTACCATACAGGGTTACTGTTTTAGGCAAAATAGGAGGAAGAAGTTGGGTATGTTCATTGCCTTATTTGCAAAAATAATAAAGACAGGATACAAATAAATAAAATGAAAAATAAAAACAATATTAAAATTATAAAAACTACATTAAAATGAAAACCTGGAACCAAGTCAAACTTCTGATGTACAATCACCTCATCTTATCCAACCACTTGGGAGCTAAAGCTAGTCTCCAAAGCTTTACAGAAAGCTAAGAGGGTAGAGGCCTGCTGAATTTCAGAGGCCAGAGTGTTTCATTGGGCAGGGGCTGTCATGGAAAAGCCTAGCTCCCATAAGGTAGTAATATTTAAGCGAAGGGATTGAAGCATCGCCACTCTGTCTCACCTGGTAGGACAGGTAGATGTCTTTAGGGAAAGACAGTCCTGCAGATAACCTTGCCCTGTGCCATAAAGAGTTTTAAAGGAGATGATCTGCACCTTGAATTGTATCCAGAAAGAAACAAAGTGTTAGAGACATCCATTATTGTGCATACTACTGCATTCTAGACCAGTTGAAGCTTCTGGGTGGTTTGCAAGGGCAGCCCTACATTGACTATGTTAGAGTAATCCAACTGGGAGGTGACCAAGACATGAATGACTATGAGCACGGCCTCTTGGTTCAATAAAGGCTGCAGTAGGCACACTAGATGGATTTTTGCAAAGGCCCTTTTAGCCACATCTGCTATCTGCTCCTCAAATTGCACACCAGATCAGGTCTGTAAAAGTGCCACCCCATCAAGAGTCAAAGATATGTATAATTTGGACCTGGAAAAGCAAAATCCCATCTTGCTAGAGTTGAGTTGAAGCCAGTTCCTCCCAATCCAGACTTTTATAACCTACAAACCAACCTACAATAGAGCCTTGGTGGCACACTGGTTAGTGCAGTACTGCAGGCTACCACTGCTGACAGCCGTCTGCCTGAAATTTGGCAGATCGAATCTCACAAGGCTCAAGGTTGACTCAGACTACCATCCTTCCGAGGTGGGTTAAGTGAGGACCCAAATTGTTGGGGCAATATGCTGACTTTGTAAACAGCTTAGAGAGGGCTGTAAAGCACTATAAACTGGTATATATAAGTGCTATTGCTATTACCACAGCATCATCTTTCTGGCTAGGGTTGGAGAGGTATAATTGAGTATCATCTGCATATTGATGATATTGGTCCCTATGCCAACGTATGGCCTCCCCTAGCAGTTTCAGGTAGATGTTAAAAAATAGTGATAAAATACTTGAGCTCTGGGATAGTTCATATTGTTGGGACTTCCCATCCCCTTCCATCCCCTATCAGCACCAACTGGAACTGGTCATGGAGGAAGGAGTATAACCCATAGTAACATTGAAACTGGTCCAAAACATTGAAACTGGTCCAAAAACCATACTATGGTTGATGATACTGAAAGCCACTGAGAGGTCCAGGGTTGTACCATCTCCATCCTGAGCCTTCCAAAGTCATCGACAAGTGTAATCAGTGTCATTTCACTATCCAGACTCAAATTCTTACTAAGAATTAATAAAAGTTCAATGTATTATAAAGCAGTGGTCACCAACCAGTGGGCCAGGGACCACTGGTGGTCCGTGAGAAAATTTTGGTGGTCCACAGAGAAATGTAACCTCCAAAGCAATTAATCCAGGCTGTTTCCACACAAGGCTTGCATCACTTGCATTGCGAACAACATAAGGTAGTGAGGGGAGGGGGGAAAGGGCAGAGGGGGGTACTTGCCCCACTCACCCCACATGCCTCGCCTGGCCACCAGGCGGCTGCTTTCTGCTTCTGCTTTTGGCTGCACGCAAGGAAAGCAGCAAAAGTCTGTCTCTCCCCCAAACTCCACCAGAGACAAGTCTTTGGGACCCTGCAAGGCATCCTGTTCTAAGAGGCTGCTCCCGCAAGGACTCATTTCTGGCGGAGTTTGGGGGAGAGAAAGAAAGACTTCTGCTATTTCTGCTGCTTTCCTTGCATGAAGCCAAAAGTTTCTCCCCCCACCCCCCGAGAACGGAGCTGGAGATGGTATCCTGCGATCCCAAATAAAGAATGATCGATTGGTAAGAAAATGGGGTGAGGATTTTTCCTGCAGACTTTTTTTGGGATTTTCCCAGGGTCTCTGGTCTGCAGGATTTAAAATTATGAGTTTGGTGGTCTCTGAGGTCCAAAAGGTTGGCGACCCCTGCTATAAGGTCATTCAATATTTTATTTCTTCAGCCAAAACAATCAGGTTTTGAGAGCTCTGAGAACCAAATTTTGCATACATCAGAACCAAAGAACAAGAAACGTGTTTTTTTCCATAATACCCAAGTAGGATGATTGAACATATAAAAATCCATGTATCATGTGAAAGGTATGTACAGTTATTTCATCCTTTGGACATGACTCATTATTCATTTCAAAGGAACCCTGTGCATATTTGAAAGTACATCCGTAAGAACTCTATCCTTGGGTGGAAACTCTGGAGGACCAAGACATGTCAAGACTATGGAATCTATTTACCTTAAGGCAGCCTAATTATTAACCGTAACCAAATAAATACATATTCAAATTCATGTGTACAAAAGTTCTGAAAAATGTTTTGACTCTTTTCTCCAGGTTTACACAGAACTTGCTATTCATTACATTTTCTGCTTTTTGGATGCAGTAAGAAATTGAGAATTGTTTTGGTGCAGTAGTAAAGACATCAGGCTTCAGATCAAAAAAGTGAGTTTTAGTCTTGCCTTAGGCACAAAACCAGCTGGGTGACCATGAGCCAGTCACCTCTCAGTCCTAAGAAGGAGGCAATGGCAAACCATTTCTGAAAAACCTTTGCAAGAAAACTTCAGGGGCTTGTCCAGGTAGGTTCCAAGAATCAGTTATGATTGAACCAAGAAGGAGAAAAAAAACAAACTGCTCAACTATCCCATTTTCTTTTTCTTATCACAACTGGTATTCACAGGTTTAACAACTTCTTCAAAACTTTCTATCCGTTATATTTCTGGAAAAAGTAAAGTTGGCTAAGTTATAACTGAAAAGGGGGAGAAATATTGGACTAAAATATGTAATAGAATGTAGTCCTTGCATTTGTTTAAAATCCAAAAGCAGCAAAATTACACAAAAACATTAGGGAAAAACCAAGCTATTACGGATCCCAGTAGGATTTTTATGGGTACTATAGCACAGTAGGCCTGGCTTCAAATGGGAATAATGCCAAAGTAAAATGTTTCAAACCATGAGGAAAATTTGAAAAGTAACAGGTTTCATGAATATTTGCTTTGGCCTATATTACAAAAACATTAAATAAATCCTATAATTTACAGCACTAAAATAATTTCAGTTCTGTATCTTTCATTCATATTTAATGAGTATGCCATTGTAATAAAAAATTGAGATATGAGAGAAGGAGAAATGTTTTGTGGGGAAAGAGAATGCACTTAGAGCTTCCTCATAATCCTTCTCAGAAGATAAGAAATAAAGGTAAGGTAAGACAGGCTGTGTTGTGTTAGACCATCTACTCGTCTTTTTTGTGGTGGAATGTGCACCTGCAGAAATAGGGGGACATGATTTTGCCAACTCAGAGCCTTTCTAGAAAGATGCCTGAATTAAGAGACTGCTTAGTCCTGAGATGGATGGGGGAGAGGAGAAGACAGTGCAGTGCCTACCGTCCCTGTACGTGCCTACCGTCCCTGTCCTATTGTTTCTCTTATTCTTTTATTTT